TTCATAGTTTTATCAAGCACTGTTTTAAAAATAATAAAGGAATCAGTTGTTCCCACTATTTATTTTGCTCCTCCTTTGTTATGGTCCTCGCTGCTAAACCCAGACGTGAAAATTGTCTCTGCCTTTAGAGGGAGTCAAGCATGTCCAAGGGGTATTTCTTTGAGATGTATAAGCTTGAAAGCTCTGTGATCTTTGTTTTAGCTTTGTGTTTATCTGGTGCAAGGATTTATCTTGTCCCTTTCTGTACTAGCAGATGGGAACAGTAAGCCAGCTATATAGTTTAAATGGAGTTTACAGTCTGATAGAGCTGCACATGGAGAGGCTGTGATACCAGTCAGCATTCATAAACTGTACATAAACTGATTCCCCAAATTGTCACAACTGTTCCTGTATTTTGTCCATTGAATAAGCATAGTTGTGTCCTGGCAGCAGGAGGCTTCATGCAATGTGTTCTTCCACAAGGTAAACTCTGTTTTTTTCAGCTGGGAGGTCTCCACGTGGAATTCTAGCTAAGTCAAAAGCAGTAGTGTTGAGGATTCATTGGAAACAGCCAATTTAATCCCCCAGCTAGCGCAAGTATGTTTTGTTCAATTCAGTCAAGGAATCCAGGCTTATAAAATGACCTTATAATGGGTTTTGAGGAATTGTTTACATGGGAGAATCAAGAGAGATGAAAAACAGAGAGGGTCACTTTTCAGAAACAGGCTGCATACAGGAAATAGGAAACGTATGTGTCAACTTTGCTTCCAAGTTCCAACACTGACATGAAAGAAGACATAAAGAAGGCCATTTCAGGGAAGAAGTTTCCACTTGCCTGTATAGGTTGAATGACACATGGCAGCTAAGAGAAGGCAGCATTACTGGAGCATGGGTAATAATGCTATTGTTGCAATTTCTGGTTAGGGTAAGCTTAAAAACAGTGTGCAAGGGTTCCAGTTCCCTCTTCAGGACAAGAAGATAAGAGATGTACTGAGCTATTTGCACTCTTGTCATTCTGTTCTATTTTGCTTTCATCTGATGCTGAACTAGCTTTTAATTAAATTGAACTCATCCATTAGTTGCAAGTGCTCTGTCACTGCAGTTCATGAGATTTTTTTAAAGTATTGTACTCAGTGGAATGGCAGAGGAGAGGAGTGTTTTCCCACAGCTATATACAATGATCAACCGTACCTTCCCACTTTATTAAATAACATCTTGCAACATTTTAAAAAGAAAAAAGTAAGGAAGTTTTATGTTTTGAAAAGAAATATTAAATCCCAATCCTGATTTACTTCCACGTCTTTACCACTGAGCTTGAGAAAAGAAGATTTGAACTGCTCATATGCCTTTTTATTTCACACTGAATTTATAGGAAGTTTCCAAACAATAACGGTCAACTTGGCAGGAACAAATGTAGACCAAATGGTGTAATCCCCACAAGGAAGCATAATTCTCTCATGAAGTATTTACAATAGCAAGCTTGGAAATCCAACAATAGGTTATATTGTTAATAGGTTGTTTATAGCATCTTTTATTGACTGATTCATTCTTAATGGTAACAGATTTAGTCACCTAACATTCTTCATGTGGCAGGCAGGCAGTTCGATGTCCGCTGTTGCTTTAAGAATCCTCTCAGGTAGCAGAAAGTATCGTTCTGACATAAATCAATAAATAGGACATAAATAGGACCTTGCAAAGTTCAGAAGTTCCCTGAAACGTAGCTGAACTTTCTGATGCTCCCTTCCTGTGACCCTCCAATAACCCTTATCTCCCCTGCCTTCATGACCCTTTAATGTTTCCCTGGCTCTCCATTCCCTTCATCCTCCTAAAGAGCTTGGCTACTTCCCAACTTGGATTCATCCAACAGGTCACCCTCCTTGGAAACTCTCCCAATCTTTGAAAGGGCCTTGCAGTAGAGTAGCCTCAATGCTAGTTTGCAAATTTAAATTTCACATGCTTTTGAACCATTCACCTAACTGAATCACATGAACAACCTGGTCGAAACTGGCAAATTCCTGCT